CTACCAGGCTGGGCTGAATCCCCAGGGGAGACCTTACCTTGGAGGAGGTAGGAATGGGGGGTGTATCGGGGGAAGGCTGGGGGATGGGAGGAGGGAGGACAGGGGAATCCGTGGCTGATATATAAAATTAAATTAATTATAAAATAAAAATATTTACATAAAAAAACAAACTCTTTCTCCATTTTCTGAGTGCTAGAATTAAAGGTATATGCCATCAGGCCCAAGTTTGAACAATTATGAGTAAGGCTGCTGTAAACATCTGGGTGCAGATTTTCCTGTGGATCTAAGTTTTGAACTCACAAGTTAGTGATCATTAAATGAAATTGCTGGAGTGTACAGTAAGAGGATGTTTCTTTTGGGGGCATTTTCCCAAAATGATGGTGCTGCTTTATAGTCCTACCAGCGATAGATAACCTAAGTTCTGGTTGTGCCACATCTTCAGCATTTGGCATAAGCATTTGGATTTCAGTTATTTCAGTAAGTACACAGTGGTATGTCATTGTTATCTTAATCTACATTTCACTGATGATATATGTGGTTATGCAGAGCATCTTCAAAAATGTTTATTTTAAACTTTGTTATCTAAAAGTTGCAAATGATGATGATGATGATGATGATGATGATGATAAAGCGATTACACTCTGACAATAACCAGATCCAAAGACTACAGAACTCAATGAAGTTCTATACAGGCAGAGTAGCCATTTGAAATGGAAGCTGTGGAATTTCACATTGGATTTCATACTTTCACTGTCAAATATATTTTTATGCAGTTATCCACCACCAAATCCAAAAAATTCATGACAGTTAGAACTAGAAAAACAGTTAACTTTCTATCCTTTTTCATAACTCATGTCCATTACCTGCATTCAGTCCTTCCTCATCTCCTAATATGCAGTATTTTTGCTTTCTTCTCTACATGTTTTTCATATACTTTAAAAAAGATTTTATTTTTAGTATCTGTTTGTTTTAAACAGGGTCTCACTATTTAGCCTGGATAGCCTGGGACTTGCTATGTAGACTAGATCTGCCTATCTCTGCCTCCCTAATACTGGGATTAAAGGTGTGTACCACCACACCCGGTGACTTTTTTTTATACGTAAGTACACACACACACACACACACACACACACACACACACACACACACACACACACACACACACGTATGTCTGTGTGGGTTTGTGCATGTATCTACAGGTATGTGGAGGTCAGGAAAGGGCCTCAGATCCCCTGGAGCTGGAGTTACAGGCAGTTCTGAGCCACTTGAAGTGTGTGTGGGAACCAAACTGAGGTTCTCTGAGATGCCTTGGAGGAGAAAGTTGCTTACCATTAAACCTGAGGACATGAATTCAATTCCAGGGACTCACATGGCGGAAGGAGAGAGAACCAATTCCTGCAAGTTTTCCTCTGACCTTCATCCATGTGTGCACGACACACACTCTCACACACACCCCAACTGTAATAATAAAATATTTTAATTATTTAAAAAAGTATGTGGGGCTAGAGAGATGGCTCAGCAGTTAAGACCAGGAGCTTTTAATGAAAGTTTACTTGTCAAATCTGTGTATCTCTAAATATCATTTTCTTTGTTTCTTTTTTTGTTTTGTTTGCTTGGTTTTTCGAGACAGAGTTTCTCCCTGGCTGTCCAGGAACTCGTTCTGTAGCCCAGGCTGGCCTCCAACTCACAGAGGTCCTCATGCCTCTGCCTCCCGAGGGCCGGGATTAAAGGTGTGCACCGCCCTTGTTTCATTTTGAAAACACAGGTAGGATGCACACACCTAGTTGGTTACAGAAGAGACACTGTTGGTGTGATGAAGTGAAGAATCCCAGGGGAGGACAGACAAGTCTCTGGTTCATCAAGTTCAGCTCCCTAGAACTGTACAAGAGCTCCTTCTAGGGAAATTCAGAGTGTAAAGTGAGTCCAGGGAAATACATCCATGGCTGAGCCAAGCTGGGCCACCAGTCAGAAGTTGGGTTTTGGGTAACTGTGTGTTTGGTGAGGAACAGACTGCTCTGACTTTGTCATCTTCCTACGACTAGCTTTCATCCTTAGGAGACTGCTCCGGGTGACAAAGGCCTGCCTACACCTACTCCTGCTGCATCACTGGAGGGAGGGTGGGCCGGAGCTGCAGCAGCACATGGCTGAGACTGACTGTGTACCTGGGATTCTGGTTTCAGGCTAACACAGTTTGGTCTGTCCCCTCCTGTTGAAGGACAGAGACTAGGGGCTGGAGAGGTGGCTCAGTGGCTCAGTGTTAGAGTGCTTGCTTAGCATGTATGGGATTCTCAGTTTGATCCTCAGAAGCACAAAGCAAATAATAAATAATAGGGCTGGTGAGATGGCTCATCAGCCACACAAGCCTGAGTTCCATGCCCAGAAGCCACAGGGGAGAACTAAGTCCTGAAAGTTGGCCTCTGGCTAAGTAAAGAGGAGGGCTCAAAGGGGGACACATGGATCTAGGGGAAACAGAACAGATTTTGCAGGTAGACTGGGGGCAGGTGGGAATGGGAACAGGAGGGATCAGGCAGAAGTGGGGAATGGAGGGAGAGAGTAGTAGGAGAGACGCCTGGAATTGGGGGACACTGTGGGTGGGGAGGATGTGGAAACCTAGTGCAGTGGAAACTCTCTGGAATCTATGAGGGTTACCCTAGTGAAGACTCCTAGTAATGGGGCATACAGAGCCTGAACCAGCCATCTTGTGTAACCAGGCAAGGCTTCCAGTGGTGAGACTGGGATATCAACCTAGTCACAAAACCTTTGGGGTAATGGTGGCCAACCAATGATCTGAGACCCACGCCACAAGAGGGAGCCCATGCCTGACACTGCCTAGATGGCCAGGAACCAGAGGCTGGATAGCCAGAGACCTAGGATAGAAACAAACATGACTAGCCAAAAAAAAAAAAAAAAAAAAAAAGGCAATGAAATAATCCCTAATGATATTCTGCTATACTCATAGATTGGTGCCTAGCCCAGTTGTCATTAGAGAGGCTTCATCCAGCAACTGATGGAAACAGATGCAGAGACCCACAGCCAAACATTAGGCGGAGCTCAGGGAACCCCATGGAAGAGAGAGAGGAAGGACTGTAGGGGCCAGAGGGGTCAAGGACACCTTGGGAACACAGCCCACGGAATCAACTAAGCAGGGTTTTTAAGAGCTCACATAGACTGAAGCAACAATCATGGAGCCTGTTTGGATCTGAGCTAGGTACTCTACATGTATATTATGGTTGTTAGCTTGGTGTTCTTATGGGACTCCTAACAGTGGGAGTGGGGGTGTCTCTTTTTTTTCCCCCCTGGAGCTGAGGACCGAGCCCAGGGCTTTGCGCTTGCTAGGCAAGCGCTCTACCACTGAGCTAAATCCCCAACCCCGTCTCTGACTCTTCTGCCTGCTCTTGGGACCCTTTTCCTCCTATTAAGAGTTGTCTTGTCTAGCCTTGATATGAGGGTTTGTGTCACCAGGGGTGTGAACCCTAATATTTGAGGACAACATGGAAAGGCTAACTCGATTCCCTAAAGAATTTCTATTCCATGGCTAGTGTCGGGAGTCAAGAAAGATTTAGTTCCACACATGGGACCAGGAGAGAGTGTAACCTCCAGGATTGTCACAGCCCCAGGGTGGGTCTAAGGATGCCTGTCACATAAACTCCAAGGTCTTAGACATTAGAGGCTGATATAGACAAACTCATGAACAGTTACATAAGGCAAACTTGCCATTAACTTTTTAATAATTATCACAATAGCATGTCAGAGGAGACAACTATTCATATATAAATTTCAGTATGTACCAAAGTGTACTAGCATGCTTTCATAGAAAGAACTGGTGAAGGGTCAGTGTAGTGAGACAGTTGGCATACTGTCCTGTTTTCTAGCTATGTATCGTTGCACATAATGTGTCCTTTGCCTGAATCACATCCTTCTCCCCCTTATTAACCAACTAGAACACTTCTATTTGTCATTAAAGTTTCAGTCCATATGCCACCTCTTCCAAGAAACCCCCTTGGTCCCTTCAGCTGGACTAAATATTCTGTAGCAATTCTTGGTCTACTGTTACCATACTATTTACTCTGAAATTAGGGTTATATCTTAATTACGTCATTCATCTTGATGCTGTCAGTTTGGAGCAGGTGGCTTAAAATGTAGTAGGTGGTCAGTCAAACTTTGTACAGCTAGTCATCTAATATAGATGGTTAAACCCAGTGTGCTGATGGTTAACGAACTGATACTAGCCTGGAAAGGGTAGTCTCTAATGGTATGCCACATAGCTGTGTATATTAGCATTTTGATAAAGTTAGTGGTGACAAAAGTTTGTGTGTATGTGTGTGGGAATAAAGGTTGGTGGCTTTTAGACAACAGTATTAGTATCCAAAGTCATGCACATGCAGAAACACTGGAGCCAGCCTAGTACCCAAGGGGGTCAGGAGAAAAGTCAGGACTCAAATTTCATAGTCTGCTGCTACCTTGACATAGGGAAGGGGAATCCTTTCAATCTGAAAATTGCCTTCTGTGGTGTTTACCTGGAGAATGGTACTTACTATGTACCAGACACTGTATGCTATCCCCTCCTCTCAAGTACCACCGATAAAGTCTAATGGGAGTGATCTGCTTGACCTGAGAACCAAGAAACAGTTCCCCACAAGGCAAGAAAAGGGAAGATGCTACCTAGCTGAGAGAGCTGGGGCTTTGTTTGCACAAAGGAACAGGGGGGTATGACAACAGAAGTTTGAGGGCTGGTTAAAAAGGAGCCAGTCCTGCTTTTAGGAGCAGATAGCATAGACTCCACCACAAAAAAACACAGGGCTTTGCATGATCCTGCTTTTTGTGAACCTGCTTCTCCAGATAACCCAGGAGTTGTCCTCCATGTGTCTTTTTACCCAGCACCTTTGGAAATAATGGCATTTATGCTCCCCAGTGTGCCAATAAAGGCCTTTATGCTGACCTTACTTCTCTGAGGATTTCTGTCTATGTTTTTCATATTAAATAATAAACTCAGTCATTCATTCACTTTATTCCACAAATATTTTATTGACTGTTCACTGACTGTTATTACACACTGTTCTTGACACTGGGAATACAGCAGTAAACCACACAGAAATCTCTGCTTTGAGGAGCTTACAGTCTATTTGGTAGACACAAACACTAACCACAATGAATAAATATAAAATATATCAAGTAGTGATCAGTGCTTTGTAGAGGACAGATCATAAATAGGATAAGACACGACATGGAGAGTAATAGGGCCAGTTTATATATGTTGATTAGGAAATACTTCTCTAGGGAGGTAACATTTGAACATAATGGAAATACTTGATCAAGTAATCAAATGATTTGGGAGGAAGGGTGTTCCCGGTAGTGAAAACAGCAAATACAAAGGTCCTGAATGGAAGGTCCCTGGCATGCTTGAGGAACAGGAGACAGGCCAGTATAGCTAGAGAGGAGTGAGGCTGATAGCAATGAGATCGGGGAGGGGAAGGGAAATAGATTGTGTAGGAACATGGGGGCCATGGAGATGACTCTGGCTTTTGTACTGAGGGAACTGGGTGTCATGGGAGAATTTTGAGCAGAATAGAGGCATGATCTGATTTGGATTTCACAAATAATTTCTAACAAGAATTTTTAATTCTTGTAGAATTACGAAGAATTAGTAACAGTGCTGCAACACTAGAATGCTGGCTTTTAGGAAAACAAAAAGGTATGCAATAAAGACGATATAATCAGTGTGCTGTGCAGTTCAGATGTGAACAATATTTATAACGTCATACTCACACAAAAAAGCATGCACTGAGCCGGGCGGTGGTGGTGCACGCCTTTAATCCCAGCACTCAGGAGGCAGAGCCAGGCGGATCTCTGTGAGTTCGAGGCCAGCCTGGGCTACAGAGTGAGTTCCAGGAAAGGCACCAAAAACTACACAGAGAAACCCTGTCTCGAAAAAACCAAAACAAAACAACAACAACAAGAAAGCAAGTGCTGATTTTAAAAATATATACTTAAAGAAATAGATGTAATCACAAAGATGAACAAGGAACAAGAGACTTAACTGGGGATAGCTAGACAGATTAGAAAGCAGATGAATCTTTTACAAAGGAAAAGATAATTTTTGAAATAAAAAGCGCAATGGAAAAAGGAAAAGGCAGATTAAACATAACTGAAAAGAGAATAAACTAAAACATATACCCAGTGAAATTCCCCAAATGAAGTACAAGGAGTTAAAATAGCAAAGAGCTGTTATGAGTTATGAAAAACAGAATTAGGAGGTACAAAATACAAGTAACTGGATTCTGAGAAAAAAAAGCCCCACAAGAAACAGAAAGAATCTAATCTAGTAGAATTTTCCAGAAATGATAAAAAACATGCTTCTACTAAGCCATGAAACACATTTCAAAAGTAGAATAAATAAAAAAGAAACAAGTCTAAACATGTTAGAATGAAATCACAGTACTCCCTGAACATCCCCCTCAGAAAACACATGAAACCAAACCACAATTAGACTGATAGTATACTTTTTAAAGGCAACAAGGCATACGTCTCACAAAGAGAACAGATACATATATTTTAAAGGTTGAGCAAACTCTTGTAAGGATAAAGATAAAGCTTTTACACACAACAAAGAGTTTAATACCAAGAGATCTGAACTAAAAGGATAAACACTGTATTCACAATGAAAGAAAATGATGCCATTAAGGGGGTCTGAGATGCAAGAATGTATGCATGTAAATCAGAACAAATACTGCCAGTCTACATAAAATAATACTGATAATATATAATTATAAGATTACAAAAAACAAGGAATAAATACTGATAATATATAATTATGAGATTACAAAAGAAACAAGGAATAAATATGGATAATATATAATCATGAGATTACAAAAAACCAAGGAATACATTTTACGAACAAAATCAAGTGGTCAGGAGAGGAATGACTAAAATCACTAGTTTTTAAGCTTCTCACACTCTTCAAGATACACTGAAAACAGTGTTTAAGTTTGTAAGCTAAACACACATGCCAGAATATCAAAGAATAGAAAAATAAATCCTAACAGGAAGGGAAAAAAACTTAAAACTAAAAAAGCAGGTGAGAAAAGAGAAAAACATACAAAAAGTAGTGGAAAACCAAAATAACAAAGTGATGGTAGAAACATGTCCAAACATCCTGCAGCAAATGTAAACTAAACTTGCCAATTTTTAAAGGCAGAGGTCATTAGATAAGTGTTTTTTGAGACAGGGTCTCACTGGATAGCCCTGGCTGGCCTCAAACTCACTATGTAGACCAGACTGGTCTCAAATGCAGAGATCCACCTGCCTCTGCCTCCCAAGTGCTGGGATTAAAGGCGTGCGCCACCACGCCCAGCTTTAGATTAGATTTTTAAAAACTGTTCAGCCATATGCTGTTTTCAAGAAATATAATTAAAACACAAAGGTGTAAAAAATTCTTAAAAGTAAAAAGATAGAAAATTATGCCACAAAACCCTAACAAGAAGAAAAGCTTGTGCTGTTACATTAATACAAGATAATCTAGCAGAATTCTTCTATTATCAGGAATAGAGAGGGATATTACACATTTACCAGAAATATAGCAATTCTTAATTTATGTTAAAAAAGGAAACTATAAGAAGAAAACAGATAACTCCAGTGTCAGAGTTCGTTTTAAAAACTATTGGTAGATCATAACAAAAACAATCAGTTTAGTTAAATACAACTTGAATAAGATAGTTGCTAACAGACACAGACAGATCTCTATATTCAATAATTAGAGGACACACATTCTTATAGAGCACATAGGAAACATTAATAATTATCGATCATGTACCAGGCAATAGAACAAGTCTCAATAAATTTCAGTTCACATAGACCACATCATCTGAACAAAATTAAGATAGATTTCAGTAACAGAACAAACTTAAAAATCCCCCAAACATTTGGGAACTTAAAAACATACTTCTGTATAATTCATGAGTCAAAGAAGTAATGCTAATCGATACGCTGAAGTTCTGGGAACTGAACAACAATGAAGTAACTACCACATATGATCACGGAGGCAAGTAGCATTAGCAGGACATTTGTAGCTTTTAAATATATAAACTAGAAAAGAAGAAAGGCTGAGAGCTAGGCTCAGTGCCTCATGCCGGTAATCCCTGCACTGGGGAGGCTAGGGAGGCAATTAGCATGAATTTGAGGTTAGCCTGGGCTATAGAGTGAGACCCTGTCTCAAAGAAAAACAAACACCCAAACCAAGCAAACAGAAACAGAAAAAAGACTGAAAAGGAATGAGCTCAACACACAGTTTAAGAAATCAGAAAAACAGCAGCAGAATAAATCCGAAAAATGTGGAAGGAAGGAGGTCAAAAAAGATAAGCGCAGAAATTAAAGAAATAGAGAACAAAGACACAATAGAGAGGAGCAATAAAGCCAAAAGTTGGTTCTTTGTAAAGACTAGTAAAATAGACAAACCTCTGGTGAGATTGATCAAGAAAAAAAGGGAGAAGGCACAAATAACCAGTATCAGCAACGAGAAAGGAGACATCGCTATAGGTTATATATAGCAGAGAATTTAAAAACGGAACTTTAGGCCAGTGGATTTGGAAACAGACAAAATGGAGCAATTCCTAAGAAACTGTATCTAAAACTATATCCAAAGGAGACAAAAAAAATAAATTCTCAGTAGTACTATAACTATTGAAGGGAGTGAAGCAATATTTAAAACTCTTCTTGCCAAAAGGATAAAAATGAAAATACAAATAATTCACAGCGGTTTCCAGCTGGGATGTGGATTCGATAGGTGAAAAGCTACTGATCTCTGCAGCCCTAGAGGTGTCTGGGGAGGACTCAAGGCAGTGAAGAGTCTATGAAGAGCCCCCTTTTCTAGTGGAGCCTTCTCTGGAGGGATCCCTAGAGGGTGGCCCTTAGTGAGGTGGGGCCCGACAACTCTCTCTGTAGTCGCTGTTGGTGGGGAGCACAGATTCCAGATGCAGCACTCAGTGACTGCTCTGTGGCCAAGGTGCTAAGCAAGGCCAGCAAGGTGCTCTGCCAGCTGCACAGCCTCTTCAGCGGCCAGCTTCTGTTGTCTTCTGCTCATTGAGGACAAAGGGCCTGTGGAGCAGTCGGAGGAGTCTGTGTTCCAGTTGCCAAGAAACACCAAGCACAGCTCAAGTTGTAAGTGGCTGGGATGGGGTTGGGTGCAGGGAAGCCAAGCAGGGGCTTCTGGAGGGTGTAGCTCCAGGCGGAAACCCTGAAACTCTGTCTTCATGAATATCAGCTACTCCTGATGAGCCCTTTTAATGATGTCCAAGCTAGCTGCAGGGTGATGGTTCTAATAATGGTGGATGTTCTGCAAATGAGAGCTTCATCATTATTTTGAAATAGTTAATAAAAAAGAGATGAAATGGATTTGAAATCTACTCACATCATCATAGAAATTCCAACAATATATTTGTCAGTGAAACAAAAGAAAAACTTATATTATTTCAGCTGTTAAACATCTTTGAACAATTTAAGAACTGGTTTTATATATTTTATCACCTACTTATATTACAAGTTTTTGTTGGTGGTGAGTGACTGTTAAGAATTTGATAGACACATTACTACAAAGTCTTGGTTAGGATTTGTGTATACCCATTTCAAATATAAAATGTTACATAAAAAATATGTGGTGAAAGCACATTTCAAAATTCTCATTTAAAACATTGAAAAGAGGAGCAGGAGAGATGGCTTAGCTGTTTAGAATACTTGCTGCTCTTGCAGAGGACCTGGGTTCCGTCCCCAGTACCTGTACAACAGCTATAAACTGTAACTCCAGTTCCAGAGGATCCAACAAACACCCTTCCCTGGCCTCTGCAGGTACTAAGTATGTACATGGTGCACAGACATACGTGCATACATCTTTAATTAATCATTTTTATTTTATGTTCATTATTGTTTTATATGTATATGCTTAGTGCCTGCAGAGGCCAGAAAAGGGAGCTGGGTCCCCTGAAACTGGAGCTACAGGTGGTTGTGAGCCACCATGTGGTTGCTAGGAATTGAACCAGAATCCTCTGGAAGAACAACAGTGCTCTTAACCACTGAACCATTGCTCCAGTCACCATGTATAAATCTTTAAAAAGATAATGCAAAATTGTTCAAGCATGAGAAAAGTCTATAAATTTAATTGGGCTATCAGACTTTTGGAGACAAAATATATTCATTCTAAGAAACAGAAAAGGTATTTGATAAAAAAAAAAAAGTCCAACATTCTTTCATGGTTTAAAACAATAAAAACTTCTTAGTATAGAGAAATAAGATAAAATTTCTTAACCTGATGAAACCTGTAGAAACCAGATGAGAAATATCTTGTTCTAAATAAGGAAAACTTAATGAATGTTATTTCTTTGAAAATACACAATTGAGGAGGAATGGCCCTTTAACATTTCTATTCAAAATTGTACTAGATGTCCTGGACATCTCATTAAAACAAGAAAATAGATTAAAGGCACAGAAACTGAATAGGGAAAAAAACCCATTTCATTATTTATAGTTGACAAAGTTGTCAATATAGAAAACACAAAAGATGAGAAGCCATCTTAAAGGGAACCAGGTGTTTTTGGAGAAACGGCTGATTCAAGGACTGCCTTGGAAAATAACAAGATGACTCTGAAGTATCTTGTAGAACCAGAAAGCAATGAAGTCCTTAAAAACCAAGAATGAGGGACTTGAGAGATTGGGTCAGTGGTTAAGAATGCTTACTGCTTTTGCAAAGGACTCAAATTCAGATCCCAGCACCTATTATCAGGTAGCTCACAACAGCCTGTGACTCCAGCTCCAGGGAATCTAGCACCCTATATTCTGGCCTCCATTGACACCTCTATACTTGTGGTATATATGCACACAGACACACAGACATACATATAAGTATAAACAGCCAATAAGAATGAGAACATGCCAAAGGGACACAGCAGTCAATGTGAAAGTGTTGCCAGGGGGCAAAGGTGAAACAATTTAAGCATCAAACCAAAAAACAGAGTATTAATTTATCGAAATTATCCCATTTTTTCCCTGAGGGAAAAGAGTCTATGTACACCATTCTCTTTTGTCCGTTTACTTTATTCCTCTGAGATTAAATTCTATCTACACAGCTTTATTCTATTCTTATAAATTGCTCCTCTGTCCCTCCTCTTCCTGTCCTCTCACAGTTCTAAGTAAGCTCTTCTGCTATGGATCTCATCTTCGTCCTCCATTCCTCCATTTCCCATCTTTCCTTCCTCTCCCACTTTCTTGACTTGATTCAAATCCACCTACAATCTGCAAAACCTTTTCCTTCCTGCCTTCTCCTAGGGCCACGCTATCCTAACTCTCCTGCTTTCTCCTCAGGCTGAGCTATAGCTCCCCTCCCCAACCCAGTCAGGAATTCTTCCCCAGTCTTCACTTGCACCTGGTTATGCAAAAAATCCTTTTGTTCTCAGCCAATAGCTCTGCAATGCCACTAGGCCTGAGGGAAAGGGATGGTCTGAGCTTCATTTGCACAAGAAACAAAGCTATGCATCTACATACCCACCTGTCTCCTACGCTAGGAAACAGGTATTGTCTCTGTAGGAGTGTTACCTAGTTCGGATCAGCAGCAGGTCTGAGAATCTAATACTGTTTACCGTATGTGGCCTAGGAGAATGAGCGTATAAGAAATTAATAATAGGAGGATTCCTTGATCTTTCTAGGTACAGCTTTATCATATACAACTGAATCTTTATTTCATATTCTTGAGGCCTGCAGTGTGGATTTATAACTCAAATTATTAAAGAAATATGCATAAGCTCATATAGATGTGAACAAGTAACAGAATAATAAAAGATAACACATACATCATTACAGAATTCCAAGAAACACATACATAGATATACCCTCTTCTAGGGCTGGAGCTCAATTGATCCCCCTCTCCTTGAGAGGGGATTAGATTCCTCCAAAGAACAGAATATTAAAAGTGAAAAAGAATCAGCAACTTTCCCATGGAGAAACACAGCAAATACTACTTTAACCAAAGGATTATAGTTCACATCATCAGGGATGCCATGTAGATACCATGTACTCCTTGATATGTATGATGAGAAGAACATTTAAATTCTGTGGCATTCTTTCTAAAAAGAAGCTCAGTCTAGTTATGATAAAAACTTCAGACAGCTCTAAATTGAGGAGCATTCTATAGTATTCAAAACCATTAATGTCATAAAAATAAGGACCAACAGATCAGGGTTATCCAAGAGATTCCTCAAACAATGTAGGCTATTATTGCAGTTGCCCTTGGTTGCCTCCCAGAGGTTGAAGTTAAATCGCTATTGCTAAAGACACCTATGCTTTGGACATAGGATCTGTGTGATCTGAGCTGGATCTGACCTGAAAGTCACCTTCCTAAGGACTAGCTTCCTTTAGGACTGGAAGGTACTGTGCAAGCTTCCAAGGGAGGGAAGCAATCAAATAGTTCTTTTTTTTTTTTTTTTGGTTTTTCGAGACAGGGTTTTCTGTGTAGCTTTGGAGTCTGTCCTGGAACTCACTCTGTAGCCCAGGCTGGCCTCAAACTCCGCCTGCCTCTGCCTCCCGAGTGCTGGGACTAAAGGCGTGTGCCACCACCGCCCGGCCCAATCAATAGTACTATCCAGCTGTGATGTCTATGAACCACAACACTGACAGCATGACAAGATATCCCTAAAAGTGCAATAGTGGTATTCATTATCTTGGTGGTAACCAACAGCTGTCTAATTGGACTTAAGGCCCACTCAACAGAGGGAAATCATGCCCAATACTGAAAATTTACCCAACTTTCTGGAGCCACTGAGGCCATGGATCTTGCAAGAAAACCTTCCACCACCACTTTACTAAACCAGCATAATTCCTACCTGCATTCTAAATACTTATCCTTATACCCACAGGTAAGTATAGCTCTCACACCTCATCAAAGAAACTTCTCTTTCCAACAAATGGAGAGCATTGCAGAAGCCCACAACTGGTCAAAACACAAAATGCAAAAAGAAAAAAAAAAAACAAAAAACAAAAACCCCAAAAAACTGATCATGGAGTACCCAGCCCCAATAGATACATCTACAACACAACTTGTGTATCTAGGGGTCAGGGAACATCATGGCAGAAAGATTCCAAGAGCCAAAGGATCAAGAAATCTACTGCGAGATAGTGTCACCTAGAAATCATACAGAGGTTTTACCCAGAAAGTCGCATTAACATGGCTGCCTAAATAAGACCTGAACAAGTACAACACCAATAGACATGTTAACATGGAAGGGGGAAATCATACAGGGCCCCATCCCTAAATAAAGAACTACAATGACTAAGAAATCCTGAGAGCTGGAGAATATGTCTTCCCCAGGGATGAGCCCCCTAATTGATTATCCGATACCAACTGGTCAGCCTTGAAATCATTTACATACAAGTAATACTAAATAGACTTAGCAAGTTGTCTTTGTGTACTTATGCATATACATATCTATATAGGTAACAATAACTGTAGAGAGCCGTGCACGGCCGTGCCTCAAAGATGGCGCAGCGTCTGGCTTCTGCCTTCCCAATGGCAGGTGCTCCTTATTTGGCTAAGGCTAGGATCTGGCTTGCTTCCGCACACCTGGACCTAATCTGACTTGCTTGTGTATGTCTGACCCTAGCGGCATTGTCCACGTGGCACTACGGGGTTGATTGCCCAGTGGCTATAAAGGGCGTGGGCTGGCTTTCCCCGGGAGGAGCTGAAGATCGGAGGAGGAGCTGAAGATCGGAGGAGGAGATAAAGATCGGAGGAGGAGATAGGAGATCAGAGTGAGAGAGAGAGAGAGAGAGAGAGTGAGAGAGAAAGCGAGCGCGAGGGAGAGTGAGCGCAAGTGAGAGAGGGAGAGTGAGTGAGAGTGAGAGAGAAGAAGAAGATGGCTTTCCCCGGGGTCAGAAGATTGTTCAAGGTTCCTGAATAAACTGCTCGGAGAAGAGCCTGGTGTTGCGTCTTCCTTGCTGGTTGAGGCGGACGGGACAAGTGGTGGCCCGTACGGGGAAACCTTTAAGGCTCAGAACTCTTCGCAGTCAGGGCAGTGCACTGGTAAGTCCCCAGGTAAGGTGGGGATCCGCGACAAAAGCGGGAAAATTAAGTGGAGCCGCAACAAAAGCGGACAGGAAGATTAAAGAAAGTGAAAGCAGGTGAAAGCATTGAATGTCATTCCCCACTGTCTGGAAGCCTGGGCAGCATGGGGAAAACCTCAGCAATTAAAGACTGATAATGGGCCGGCGTATACAGGACAGAAATTTAATTCCTTCTGTCAGTGCATGGATGTGCAGTTAACTCACGGTCTCCCTTATAATCCTCAAGGCCAA